ATAATAAAAATAATAATAATAATAAAAAAAATAATAATAATAGTAATAATAAAAATAATAATAATAATAATAATAATAATAATAATAAATGGGCACTGGAGTAGGACAGGCTACACCTCAGCCTACTACAGGGACATGGACGGTCCCACCCACCAGAGTCTGGGGTGATGCCATTAGCAAGTGTGCGTAACACCATTGGCAAGTGTTCAACATACATGAACTCCAGAAAATAACTCTCCGTTCCACCGCCCACCTTCTCAGGTGGGCCCTCTCCATCAAGTAGAAACCCTCTTTGCCTCCCAAAGTCCATGGTTTGGACTCGGATGCTGCGAGAGAAAATCACCCACAATGACACTAATAATAATAATAATAATCATAATAATAATAATAATAATAATAAAAATAAATAAATAAATAAAATAAACCTACAGTTTAATACTATTTTGATGATATTACTTCAAATAATACCAAAATGCATCTTGAAGTTATGTTTTGAAGCCATGAAAATTTTGTTGGTTTTCTTTTATGCAATCTCAAAAACGAGACGTTTTCTTAAGGTCCTCTCATTGTAATTTTCGGGTAATTTTTGATTTTGAATGCTTCTTTAAAAATCTTGAAAACAGCTTGACGATGACCACTGACAAGCTTGATAATGCAGATAATTTTATCCCAAAGTTTCATTAACATAGATTCACTGGAACCCTTTCAAATTCAAAGATTAACAAAGGGGTGTATGAACAGATGAGTGGTGTTACAAATTCACGGTTTAAAAACTATGCTAAATTATGCTGATCCTTGTGTATTGGATTCCTTTATGATGCACAACGGAAACAATACCGCCATCGATGACAATGCAATGTATCTGCTGCTGTTGGAATGCTGTAAACATTGATTTTAATATTGTAGTATAACTTCGTTAATCATGAATCGTAACACTGACAACTTTTTTGCCAGTTCCAGGCTCTTTCATTGACAAATTTGAAATTGTTCTGGTGCATCAATAACAATAACTTTGGAATAAGACTGTTTGTATTATCACACACACATTACTAACGTTTCAGAAAAATCTATCAAGCCGTTTTTTAGATTCCCAACTTTTTTTTCTTGTAAATTCTACCTGCCATACACCATAGTTAGGCACTAGTATTTGTTTTTTCATATCACATCTGGTTCATGCAAAATTCATGTTTTACCTGTTTTTGATTCTTTGGTTTATTGTTTCCATGGAAATATCGATCACCTAAACAAATACATTATACCAAACTTCAATCTATTTCCAATTGCTGGTGTAATTTTCATGTCAATCTGATTAAGGGAAGACTGTTAAAAAGCTGATTGAAAATGCTTGGCATGGCCCATAAAAACTGTATATCGAGACACCTTAATCTGTTAATTTTCATTATTTAACATCATTTTATTCTACCTTCAATCATCCTTTTAACCCATTGATTTATCCCTCTGAAGAATTATTTTGCATCAAAAAATTCATGACATCAAGCAGATTGGGCTAATCAAAGAGAACTTAAGCCAGAATAATGGGTTTGCTAAGGGAGAAAAATACTACTGACAAATTATTATTGGAATATACATGTATAACACCAAACATTTGGCCAAGGTGAGAGGAGATTGATTTGAGAAATTTATGTACTGATCAGAAGAAAACTCAGGCAAAAATGCTCATGGTGTGCCATTGGTGATGCACCTCTTTACATTAAAGATATGACACCTTTCATTGAAAACGACCTTGGTAGGGTGTACCTCAAGCAAAGCCCAAGGATAATAAAGAACTAAATAATGACAATTCCAGTGGCTCAGGTTTGTCAATCACTTCTTTGTGCAGTCTTGCAGAACAAGCTCTAAATTTATTCTTCTCTTTTTCCTTGCTTGTTTCAAAAGAATTCACTGGTATATCTGATTTCTCTTCCCATATATTCTGCTCAGAATCAAATGTTTCAACTGATAATACCCGTGACCATTTGTGAGAGAAGTTCAGGGTGTGACTGACACCCCCCAAAACATACAGCCTTCCTTCAAAGCATACCATGCTTGCTGACTTCCTAGGTAAATTGAGACTTGGCATCAGCTGCCATTCATTGGTTACAGGATTGTAAACCTCACATGTGTCGAGTGTTACTTGACCCTGACATCCACCTGCTATGTACACCTTGCCATTCATGGCAGCACCAAAGGCATTGTATCTAGCTTGATTGATAGGTGCAACTTCTTCCCACTCATGATCATCAGCACTAGGATCACATCTGTATGTTGTTGACACAGATGCACCTCTTCTATTTGCACCACCTATTAGGTAAAGGTATTTCTCATCATTTACAACACAAGCTTTGTGATGACTAATGAGTGGCTTATCCAGTTTATAACTGCAGTTCTTTTCAGGATTATATGTGTACATGTAGGTCCCACAGTCTTCACTTTCATCACTGGCATACAACTGTCTCTTCAAAACTGTAGTACAAGTAAATGTAGTTGACACTTGAAATGCAGCCCAGGAGTTAGTGGAAGGTGTGTAGCATTCCATTAAACTAGACCCACCCAGCTTATCTGACCCCTGACAGGGGATGTAAATTTTACCTCAGCATTGGCTGGGATTGCTTCTATGATCATGCTGAAAAAGCGTGTCTGACAGCTTGTACCACACATTTCGTTTTGGAGAGTAACACAAAGCCCTACTTCCTCCGCAAACAAAGATTGCATCTGCGTTCATCTTCAGGCATTTCCTTGGTTGTTGTACAGTCTGCTCATCAGTGGCACTTGCCATTAATCTCATACCATCTAGCACAAAATGCAAGCACACATTGCTTTTAGCCACTAGTTCCTCCTTCACCAGTATGTTTAGTAGAAAGTCATGTGGTATTGATGCCAGACGGATTTGATGCAGTAAAGCAGGAAATTCAACTTCTCTTTCGCTTTTGTTGTGAGACACCCACTTCACGATTCCCTTGAAAACCTCTTCCTCAGCTTTGACAGTGATGTCATCACTAGACACCCATTCCATGACTTGCTTTATGTC